GTTACTTAGTTACTTTTTATGGAAAGTAATGCGTTATATTACTTTTGCGTTACTTTCACGTTACTTTTTTAAAATAAGCAGGGCTTGATTGTTTTTACTATAAGAAGTTCTATTTATAGCAAATATAAAAGCCCTTTCACACCAAAAAGTGTAATGAATAAACCTCAGGCTGAAGCAAAAGTAAATTCACGTCTGTACAGTAGAACGCAGGAGAAGAAACCCTCTTCAGCAATAAAAAAACGAAGCACAACTGTTAGTTTATCTAAAGTCATTTTTGCTTATTAGTATGGTTGAACTGGATCATCAAAGGTCAGCAGAAAAGACATCAGTTAATAAAATGGGATTAGATACATTTGTGTTATTTAACATATTTAATTATTGCAGGTTTGCGTCATATTCTGAGTTTTAATTCATTTTGATTAATACTAAATCTGTTTTTTTGTGAGTGGGATAAATTAATGCACATTCACATTTAGTCTAGAACTACAGTAGCATCATGTTCACACAGCGCACACAACTCCTCTGCACTTCCGATTTCTCCCAATATGAGGACAGGAGACTTGTCAGTCAATACTGGCATTACTTTTTTGAAAAAGTAACTCAGATATTTTCTTGTAAATTAAAAAAGTAATGCATTACTTTACTAGTTACTTGAAAAAAGTAATCTGATTACGTAACTCGCATTACTTGTAATGAGTTACCCCCAACACTGTTCCCAACAGGGTCTATAATACAATGAGAAAACCTTAAATAAGCATTCTTATTCATCTTTCTACCATTATTATTTTTATTATTGTTGTTAAGAATAATTTATTACAATTGATATTGAATTATTATTATTATTAATATTTATTTATTGGCTTATATTTAATATGATAATGTAAGCAGTTAATTTAATAATAATAATAATAATAATAACTATAATAATAATAATAATATTAATAATAATTTTATTTTAACTATTTTAATGCACCTTCCCTAGAGCACCAATCAGCTCCACAATTATAGCTCAATTGACATGTAGTTGTAATGACTGCTAAGAGAACAGTGGATTGAACTTTGAAATATTATAATTTTTGGACATTTGCAGACGGAACTGCATCATTTCAGCATACTATCAGCAGAAAGAGGCACGGCAATCTAGATTAGCCCAGGTAAGCTTCTATACAGATCCATTTTATATGTTATAATAATATTCAATATAAGATATATACTGTGTGTGTATATATATATATATATATATATATATAT